GGTTTTGCTGGTTGGTTCCCACATCATCCCACAACAAGAGCATGAGAGCTTCATGATACCTGGTAGGCTGCTGAGCTGCAGAGACCGTTGCCTCCTGTGCTGGCCAGTACTAATTCACTGTTTCCCTTATTCCGCAGAATTTATACTAAATTTTAATTTTTAAATTTAATCTATTCATCTCTACTTACAATACTTCCTGAACTTCTTAAACATATGTTCAGGCCCCAAAGCAAACAATTAGCATTCCTTCTTGCTTTCTTTTTTTTTGCCATTGTAACTCTGGCTTCGGTGCAGTTATTGTTTTATTTGATTTGTTTTCTCAAACTGGTGACCAGCTGGTTTAGATTGCAGAGAGGATTTCTATCAGCATCACAACCTACTCCTGCAGAGAAACTTTCCAAGATTATACCCTCACAGTCCAAATCATAAAACCGACGTATTACATTACTCCTAGCAAAGCTCCATCTATTTCATAGAATCACAGAATGTTTTGGGTTGGAAGGGACCTTTAGAGGTCACCCAGTCCAACCCCCCTGCAGGGAGCAGGGACATCTTTAACCAGATCAGGTTCATGATACCTGGTAGGCTGCTGAGCTGCAGAGACCGTTGCCTCCTGTGCTGGCCAGTACTAATTCACTGTTTCCCTTATTCCGCAGAATTTATACTAAATTTTAATTTTTAAATTTAATCTATTCATCTCTACTTACAATACTTCCTGAACTTCTTAAACATATGTTCAGGCCCCAAAGCAAACAATTAGCATTCCTTCTTGCTTTCTTTTTTTTTGCCATTGTAACTCTGGCTTCGGTGCAGTTATTGTTTTATTTGATTTGTTTTCTCAAACTGGTGACCAGCTGGTTTAGATTGCAGAGAGGATTTCTATCAGCATCACAACCTACTCCTGCAGAGAAACTTTCCAAGATTATACCCTCACAGTCCAAATCATAAAACCGACGTATTACATTACTCCTAGCAAAGCTCCATCTATTTCATAGAATCACAGAATGTTTTGGGTTGGAAGGGACCTTTAGAGGTCACCCAGTCCAACCCCCCTGCAGGGAGCAGGGACATCTTTAACCAGATCAGGTTGCTCACAGCCCCATCCAACCCGGTCTTGAATGAATTTCTACGCAAAAAGAAAAGCAAAGTTACTTCTGTACTTCCTCTACATTTCCTAAATGTTCAGTAAAAAACCCCTTCATTCCAGTTCTCTGGACTTTAGTAAAGGCCCCATTTTTATTGTCTTTATAAAATCTCAACATTTCTGTACTGCTGTCTCGTTGAGCCCTTATAGCTCTCTCCAGATCTCAACGAAAAGAGCAAATGGCAGCAACTCTCCCCATCAACTTCTCTTGGCTATAATAAATCAGAAGCTCATTACCTGCTTATCACCCAGCACCTCTTTCAAGAGCTCAAGACTCAGTTCATTCATATTTGTTCACAGAGAGGCCCTTCAGTTGCTTTATGGAAAGGTCTTCTGCCAAATATTTCCTTTTGTAATGCAGTAATAGACCTGCATTTTGCTCTCTGTGCACAGTGTTCGTTGTTAGTGCTACATGAGGATGCGGAGACGAGATGGCGGCATTTTGGGGGATGCTACTTTCATATAAGCCAGACACGGAGAGGAGGGACTCGGTGTATTCTTGGAGCCTGAAAACCCACTGTTAGTGCTTGACAGAACAAATGCAGGCTTCCGATTCAGAAAAAATAAATACAAACGTCTTGCCACCCCTGATTTCACTATCTGGATTATTGCCTAGATAATTCATCTGAAAACCAAACCCAGCCGAGCAACTGCCTTGAAAATTGAGTAACCTCAGGTTCAACTGTATTAAAAAACTTCAGCTTCAGGCAAAACTGATGGAACAGCTCATTCGCAGTACTTTCACCAAGCCCTGGCCCTCATTTTATGTTTTTCTGATTACGCTTACATTGTGTTACAATTTACCAGCAGCACTATTGTATTATAATATATATTACCGCTAGCCGACTCTGACTGTATGCATTCAGCTTCATCAACAGCTAAAGACGTGTGGCTCGATGCATATTCATCACTGTTTTGCCATTTCTCAGCTGTTAAAACAGCTGCATGAATCAGCAACAAGTTTCACAACTTAAAATAGACGTAACCTTACAGGATACTCGGGCACAATGCGCATTACGGTTCTCGCGCGTAGACTGGTAGGAGTTAGGGATGCGGTGCACTTAACGATGGTATTTCTCCACTCAAGCAGAGCGCTACCCTAAAGGTGTAAGCGACATTAACGGTTCGGTTTGGAGCAAAAGTGTGCTTTTGCAATCAATCTCCTGGTCATTGTCACTTATCCTGCTTTGGTTCACTTCACAGAGTGATCTTGGAGTGAATGAACCCGATTCCTTTCGATGGAACTAAACCCGAAACGCACCACTGACTTCCATCTGCTAGTGGCACATGGTTCAGAGGACCGAACTACAGCTACTGGAAAGCAAACCCTCTTGAAATGCATGCAGCATGTTCTGGGTCCTCAGTACAGACTGTTCTGTTCTGCAGACCTGCTCCTCTTGGCCCACACCGCTTGCTAAATTTAGACAGAGCTGAACATGGCTATCTGGCTTCTAGAGAGGAGCTAGCACTTTGGGTTGGCCTGTCATGGAGCCAGGAATTCATGATATAAACCTCAGGGTTGGATGGTTTGTGTCCTGTTTCCCTTACGTTGACAATCATATCTGGCTTTATGAAAAAAAAAAGAAAACCCCAAACATCTAGCAAGTACATAATTTTCTGTCTGGAGGACATTCTTAGCTCTCTTCCAGGGCCTCAGCTCAAATAGACATCTAAGAGCACACACTCAATTATTCAGTCAACAAGCAAATAAACTACCTTGTCTTTTATTCATTGCTGTGCCAAAAACCTGCAGAGTCACTCATACCTGTTCCAGTACTTCTAATATTTGCTAGTCCTTCCCCTGTTTGGGGTATGCACCACTGCTTATCATGGGAAAATCAAGTGTTACACCATCCCCACGTGGGTTTATCTTTCATGATCAGGTGCATAGATACGCATGCGTCACTGCCACAAGAGCTTGGTATTTATTTCAAATGAGTGCAGTAAGAAGGAAAGTGGTTGTATTACATTCACATTAAAATAATGCAATGCAAAACACTGAATATGAAACGGGATTCCTGAACATCTTGTTTGCTCAGTATGTTTCCAGTACAACCATTCTACTGCTACTGCAATGCCACGGTAGATAACATTGTAGGTTTTGTTGTTGGTAATACGTAGAAACCACATCTCCTCTAGGAATTTCAGTACATATTTGCAGTGTTTCCTTAGCTGGCAACACAGTCCCTTCCTTCCCCTTACTTCAGCGCAAAACCAAACTCTACATGTGATCACTTACAGAGTTCTGCCTAATTATATAAATGTACTAATTATACACACTTTTCAAATGGTGATAGACTTCAAAGTAGGTAAATTTTAAATTGTGCCATTAAGGAAATCTATTTGATGATGGAAATTCCTGTAATATCATATTGCAATCTTCTACATCGTAATTTTGCTTTCAAGTCAGTCTTAATTAAATGACAAATAACAGCAGAGAATAATAGAGTTGGGAAAGCAAACTGAAAGCCGTAATATTTACAGCGTGATATTGGTCAGCAGATGTTAACAAAAAGGATCAAAAACAGTTCGGAAAAGCAGTGGATCTAAGGTAAACAATGAGTAGAAAGAAGTTCCACACGATAAATATGAATACCGAACCTTCAGAAACCACTCGGTTACCAAAGATAAACACCTGCAGGCCCGACTTATCCCCATGTGCTCAGCTACTCCTGAGAAAATATGTGTGTCATTGAACACTTAATTTACATGCACAGTTGTCACACTGCTAAGAACGACTTGCAAATTAGTTACTTGCAGTTCGGAGCATCTCTTTGCATGCAAAATAACGCCAACTGCACGTACAAACCAGCCCTACAGCGCACACGTAGCTCAGGCCACCAATGCCATACGTTTATGAAAACCAAACGGCCACTTCAGCACCTTTTTGTACCTTGGTTCATGCTTCTGACAGATAACACCCTCACTTTTCCAAACAGAGCTCTTTAACGTTAGACGTTCACCACAAACCCTAGTTCTTCAACATAACTCTTTAGACAAGTCACAGGACAAGTGAATGCATGAACGCTGATATTCTTTTAGCACTGCTTAATAGTTACTCTGTCTATTGTCCTGATGTCCTAGGCGAGGAGTTTATTTCCTGCAAGTTCTAAGAATTTCTATAGCTCTGCTGTAGAATCTGGATCTTGCATTTCCAAGCCCAACAGGCAGATCAGACAGCGATTGCAATGCAGCAACACCCCAGGACACCAATCCCTCTGCCTTTAGTTAAATAATAGCTTCTGTGGCGGGGGAGAGACAGAATCTATCTCCACTGAAAAATAGGACTGTGTACAGAAAGGGAAATGGTCGATCTTCTCTCACACAAATTTGAGTGTCAAAACAAATAGGCTTACCAAGTCACGGGCTGTCACATTTAATCAAAGATGTTTATGGAACAGCTTGATAGAAGCATCTCATAAGCAAGAGGTGGGTGATCCTGAGTTACCAAGCTCAAATATTGATCAGGACTTTCTCCCAGCATTCAAGAACTCCTGGGTCTGAGATTTTGGCTACACCCTTCAGAGTATGGGGTCCAGATACGCTTGAATAGTTTCAAAATCACAGACCTTTGCTCTGGTGCACCCACATGAAAAATCTCTAGACGAAATTAAAACTATCTCTGCACAAGTAACTATTTTTCTTTCTGCATAGTTATAAAATGACTCCCATACAAAAAAAAAATCATAAAAGTTGGAATTTTAAAGCAGAAACGATGCAAGTTCAGTATTGGAATGAGGAGCTCTAATAGCAACACAGAGACAATGCACAGCACAAGAAGTGATTTTGTGCTAATGGGTGATGTCTTTGACCTCCACTCACACGTGAAGCAACTCCATGCCCTGCCTGGTGTTACCTTTTGATATTCTTCCTTAGATCTCAAGGCAGCTTCCATCTGTTCCTGAGAAAACGTGTAGATGGCCGAGCGATACTGTGTGCCAAAGTCATTACCTTGTCGCATTCCTGGGGAGAGAGAAAACACAGCACACCATGAGGATCATCCTCCCTGCCTGCCTGAGCTGCAAGCACGAAATTCAACAGACCTAAATTTAGGATGGCCCATACACCTGGATTAGCACGGTCTCTTACGTGCATACTCAGTAGGTATTTTTAGGAAGTCCAAGTCTTTCTTTGGTTAAATAGTCCTGAAGAGATTCGACTCTGATATCTCCTTCTAAATGACATGCAAATGAAATGTGAGCATTTTACATCTTAGTACACGACACAGTAGTCAAATACAGATGTAAAACCTTAAATAATCAAGCTGCAGCTACTGTAATCAAGGTACTCTTAAAATATTTATTTTGAAGCATGCAAGTGGCTACAAAAAAGTTTATTTTACCAAGTGCTTAAACTTTTTTTTGTGCTGGATGAGTACATCTTAATGGGAGAAGCGTTCAAACTACCCTTGGATATAACTTGCTGTTCTCCTCTATTCACAAAGCAATGTTCTTGCTAAAAGACTAGCACGCAGGTATTGCTGAATTAACTCTGAAGTTATCAATTCCTACCATCATCACCACTAGTTATGGAGAGAAGGAACGACTAAGGAATGACTCTTACAAATCTGAGCTCCAAAGAGGACTCCGAGAGACAATTATGCCAAGGAGAGGGTTTGCAGAAAGTCCGTCTGCGTTAGTTCTGTTACAGAGCGAGTAACGCTTAGGAACAGCAACCCTCTCCCAATTTTTTTGAGTTTGGGAGAAGTACAAAGCAAAGGTATATATGTAATCTCTACAAAATTCTATTTGCAACCTATGTGCGGATAATATGAATGGCCAAAGTATATAATACTGCTTCTATCTATCAATAGGAAAACAAAACCCCAGTTATACATACTCGATAACTCCTTGAAATTATATCATAAATGAGTAATTTTGGTACAAAGATCAGCCCCTTTACTGCTTACATACGTAATCCCTTCAAAAGACCAGTTGTATGCAGTTGCTCGTGTACGAATTTCCAAAATACGAGATGGATTCTACCTACAGAACTATAAAATAATGGGCCAAAGCAGAGGGAAGTTTGCTGTCCCCTTGGGTGATGAGCCCAGATATGGTTTGGCATTCTGCAGTCCTAGGCAGCCACGCTGGCCAAAGGCATTGCTGCCTCTCATCGCTATCCATTCCCGTTCCCTCAGGCAGCAATACCATAAGCCAGCTTTCCTGGGGATCATTCCATGAAGTCAAACAACAGCCTTAGAGAGGAGCTTTAGCATTGAGAATGATCTGGAGGTGCGGTTTTGCAACTGCAATTGCTGTTTTGCACTTTCTGTCTTTTGTAACCTTGCTCCCAATTTTGCATTCTAGAACTCTTCTCAGTGGTGCCCAGCACCAGGACAAGGGGCCATGGGCACAAACTGAAGCAGAAGAGGTTCCAGTTGAATATGAGGAAGAACTTTGTTACTGTGAGGGTGCCCGAGCCCTGGCCCAGGCTGCCCAGGGGGGCTGTGGAGTCTCCTTCTCTTGAGACCTTATCACCCTCTACAACTGCCTGAGAGGAGGCTGTAGCGAGGTGGGGGTCGGCCTCTTCTCCCTGGTAACAGATGATAGGATGAGGGGGAATGGTTTGAAGCTGCGCCAGGGCAGGTTTAGGTTGGACATTAGGAAAAACTTCTTCACCAAAAGGGTTGTCAGGCTCTGGAATGGGCTGCCCAGGGAGGTGGTGGAGTCCCCATCCCTGGAGGTATTTAAAAGAAGGGCAAACGAGGTGCTTAGGGACATGGTTTAGTGGTGGGATGGCAGGGGTAGGTTAAAGGTTGGGCTTGGTGATCTTAAAGGTCTTTTCCAACCAAAGTGATTCTATGATTCTATATTCAACCCCCGCCTGGATGCTGTCCTGTGCCCCCTGCTCTGGGTGAGCCTGCTTGAGCAGGGGGCTGGCACTGGGTGAGCTCCCGAGGTCCCTTCCAACCCTTGACATTCTGTGATTCTGTGATTCTGTGAACAGAACTTTTTGGTTTGCTATAATAAAATGTATTAATTTTGAGTTTGATGTTGTATACGAAGTTGGGTGAGTGAAAAAGCTGGAGTTTCTGAAGCCAACTCGAAGAAGCAGCCTCCTCCCAAATGCCTTCAACCCAGGACAAATTGGAAAGCATCAGGATTTGCCTTTTGCCTGCCACCAGACTACTGAAGCCCCTTTGAAGATTACCATCAACTCTCAGGACTATGGAGATGAAATGGAAAAAAAAAACCCTGCATATCCTGATACCCTCCTAGCAAAGGGCAGAGGGTAGAGAAAAAGCCTGTGATACTGGGGGGAAAAAGATGCTATCAACATAATAATACTCATTAAAACATGGTAACTTTTGTCCCTCTTGTACCTTCCAAGGAAACAGAAAAATAGTTTAAAGGGCAGTACAATAAACAAATGAAATACAGCTGAAATATTTATGAACTAAAAGATGCAGAAACGTTTTCAGAGATGCATTTGGACAGAAAGTCCATTCAGTGACCAACAGTATACAAAAATGAATGTGATTCCAAAAAATGTTATGCAGTTTTCTGATGATTTGGGTTACTTCTTAACTGCTGGAACGTTACGTTATTACACTTAAGAACAACAACCACCTTCTTCATCAATACTTAATAGTGTGGTCCGCAGGGCAGAGAATATTTTGCTCATTTCTTTGCGAGTTATTTTAGGGTGTTAAGGAGCTCTTGTAAAGCCAGTGCTACTGAATAATTAGGCATAAAATGAATACAGGCCAGTAAAGCATAAGTTTTGCCAGGACATGTTAATGCTGATTGATGTCTGAGCTTAAGCATTAGCATGCTACAAATCTATTTATTGCTTAACAAACTACTTAACAACCAACTGGGGAGTAGATTACAAAAATCTCTATAAAGGGAGGATCACCATATAGTATGCCAGTTTCTAGCACGCACTCCGAGAGTACGAGTTCCGCATGAGCTCGTGTGCACGGTGTTCTGCGTGGGAAGAGAAACAAGATTATTTAATGGAGGCCCCGTCCCTGGGAACATTCCAGGCCAGGTTGGACGGGGCTGTGAGCAACCTGATCTGATTAAAGGTGTCCCTGCTCCTGCAGGGGGGTTGGACTGGGTGACCTCTAGGGGTGCCTTCCAACCCAAACCATTCTATTATTCTATGATTCTATGAATATATGCACACGCCACCGTTACATAGCAATAGGGAAACGGTCAGTTTAGTTAATTTAATGAAGAGAAGGTTAAGAGGAGAACTGACTCTGACTTACAAATATGCATGTAGAGAAGCAACCTGAGAAATAAGGCTCTTTCGTCTTGCCAAAGTCACTTAACTACGTAGAGCCAAACCAAAGTATACAAAATCCGGATGGGAAATAAGGCAATGTTCAAATAGTTTCGTCTTGCCAAAGTCACTTAACTACGTAGAGCAATTGAAAACCAAAGTATACAAAATCTGGATGGGAAATAAGGCAATGTTCAAATAGCGAAGAGCATTTCTCACTGGAACAACACACCTAAAGCCACATCCCTTTCCTGAGGGCTTCACATCAAGGATATACATTTTCCCCAAAGATATACCAAAGCTCAGAGAGCTGTCAAGGTCAGTGATGAAATGATAAAGTTGAGGAGGGGGTCAGACTACGATAATAACGGCCCCTCCTAGCACTCAGGTGTTGGCTCGCTCTGTTAAACCATCCACAAGCTAAGAAGAAGACTGAGCAGGTATTGTAAGTGTTACCCCAAAGTGTAGCTTTAATGTGATCAATCATCTAAGCTAAAATGTCATTTATTTTTACTTGTTACCTAAATTAATTTGTACCTAAACCTCCTGCAATGAGTAGCTAATACATTATCTAAGCCACAAAGGCAATGAGACAATAAAATAAATTTCACGTGTACAGACGTAATCAATTGCCACTGTTGCTTGTGTTATTCGTAATGTACCTCATGTGTACAAACTTACTTCTCAAGGGTCCATCACGGCTTTTTTTAAAACCCTCTGGCAAGTCTTACTTGTTGAGATTCACTAACTCAATGAGTAGCAAACAAGGCAAGAAATTCAATTTACTAAACAGCTGTGGTAGGAAGACTGAGCTTAACAATCTTCATCTGAAAGAAAGTATAATAAATCAAAAACGATCTCTGCCTGGCTATCTAAAAATTCCACAATGTCCACTGTAGTTAACTTCCCTTCCGTTTCTGAAATGTCTGTCCTATTTTGTCTATCATGCCATTCTGCCTCTCTCTGTTAACACAGCCCCGCAGTTATACACATTAGGCTTGAAAAGAATGCAAAAATCTATGTAATTAATTTAATAAAGACGGTGAACGTATTGGAAGATATGGCGCACTGCTAAATCAAAAGCCGTTCTTACAAGGGATCATCAACATTGCTGCCGTTGATTCTAGCTACACTGGGTGTACATTAGACTCCAAAAAAGTTTTCTGCTGAGACAACGAACCAACCGCTGATCTTCTGTGCACCAAAATGGTTCCACTGACATCAATAAATTTGTTCAAAGTTTATAATAATACAACTAAACCCACAAATAATCTCCACAGGCTTCAAGGCATTCACCTTGCCTACAAGGTCCCAGGTAATTAAACAGGACTTAAACCACATTTATTAAACACCCTTCAAAACCGGTATCTATTACAAACTATAATCAGACATTATAAAAACATAGATTTAGAAGTACTTTGAATGACCACCATTTTTGTTACATTTTCATAGAAAAATGAGCAAAGCTCTTGACATTATGGTTTGGATGGATTAAAGCAATATTTATTATCTCTAATGGATGCATTTCAGGATCAGATTCCCTGTAAAAATTCTCTACAAAGAATTTCATCAGAATAAGACATTTGCACTTGAGAAGGAGAAAGTTCTTTTTATCACCTGTGCCAAACTCCATTTTAAGAGATGGATGTGACTTTGCTTTAATTCCAGATCAAACCAGTGAATCAGGTCTGTCTAAATCTTCAGTACTGGAAGAAGGAATAATCCTACAG